AAACTAACAAACTGATCCATCATTTGGGGGGCCGCTGACCCCAAAAACTGTTACCTTAGAATGGTTCTGACACCTTCCAAGGTACAGGGGGGAAAAAAAACCACATTCATAAAAGAGGAGAAACAAATATTCCAGCGATAATATGCTCAGGGCAAGATTTTCTCTTTGCAAGTTTGGGTGAAGATCTTCACACCCCTGACAATCTTCCACGGAGAAGCAAATTGAACAAGACAAATGCTTCAGCATATTTTTAACAAATGAAGATAAGTAACGAGCAAGTCTGGAATAAAACACAGACGCTAACAAAATAGCCCCGGGTCAAGGAAAGCCGCAGGAGTCTCCATCACAACAACCTTCAACTTTCCAGTCAACGCATTTGAAATTTGTGCCTACTTTGCAAGACAGAACTACCTTCCCCCAAAACAGTACTCAACCAGCAAACAAGGTCATTTGTTCCACACACAATTTTCAAAATACATTTGGAACATCAGTCTCCTTACTCCAAGAAAGAGGAGGCTAATCGGAATGGACAGTACCATGCATGGAAAATGTTTCAGGATAAACACTTTTGCGCCAGTTTACTGAATTTATGTTTGAAATTAAGTTAGGAAACAAATTATTCTACCCCTCCTTTTATATCCCCAACCTCTCCACCCCACCCCCCCTCCACCCAGTACGAATTGACCCAGATCAATCTATTCCCTATTGGGTGCTCGATCCCCTGAGCGACAATCGCATCAGTCAGCCAAGATGCACATTTCCTCCTTCTGCGGGCACCTCCGAGAGGACGTTGCCACATGAACTGGCTGGTTGACCGTGGATTGCCAAGGGGCAAGTATTCTTTGTGTTTTTAATGACACAGATGAAGGGGTGCGCGGGCCCTTATGGTTCGACTCCACCAGACAATCTTTCTGGGGCACACCTTTTGTGTATGTGACCTCCCTAAAGTGACCAAAGTGACCAATGGAATTCACAATCAAACCCTTATGAAAACTGCATCACACTCTTACTCTTTCAAGGCTGGTCAAGCTGGCAATAACAAACATGCCTGAGGGACACGGTCGCAGCTGCTAGCCAGTGTCTTCCGCAAGTGCACATGCTTTCCAAAGCCATAGCCAAGTAGCTTTTTTATACACCACAAGTGCATCGGCAAAATACATGTGCGGTGCTGGCACCCATTCTACCGGAATCTCTCTACATTTTACTGTTTCAACAAGGTGCAAAATACGGACCTTTGTTTGTGAACACTAAAGGACAGTTTGTTCAGGCGGCCATCCGTGTAAAAATATCAACCGCGGCTGACAAAATTTTAGGAGCCAAAAGGGCTACCATACTGAAGTAGAATCTTTCCATTTCATTTTTAGTGGCCTCCTTTGCTTGTACAGCGTACGCATTCTACAGCTGGCAACATGTTAAGACTCTCTTTGAGTTAACAGTTCTCTTTCTCTTTTTTTTTTCAGAAACTGCCCAAACTTTGCCATCCCATGGCGGGAAAAAAATGCACTGTGACTTTGAATAGCAAAAGCGTAAATTGCTTGACTTTGATGCGACTCGTGGCGTATTCAAGGTCCTTGCCAACAGGTTTATTGGCTAAACATGAATATCCCCTGCCCCAAAAAAAGTAGGGAATGAGCATCAGAATATGATAGGTACCAAGTGAAAGCGTCATGACACAAAGACCAAGAAATGTTGATCGCCAAAGTTTGTCTTTTATCTGTGGCAAAGCCTGTAATGCTAAATACCAGAATAGACAGGTCTATTTTAGTAAGGGAATAAATGTGTGCTTGGCCGGTCTTAAAAGTGCGGTCAAGATCGGCTCAGGAGTGTGACTAATGCCTGAGCAGCAGGCAAAGGCATTATCAGCATTCAATATCTTGGGCCGCTTTCAAGCACATAGTCATTCCCATTCATAAATACTTTTTTCAGTCAGAGAGTCAAAAGAAGTTGACATATGGCAGATTTCTAACGATTTTGTTGTAGAATTTTACTTTAATTTTCCTGAACACCCCTGTCCATTTTATTTTATATTTGTCCAAAAGAATCTCCTTATACGGACTTGGCACGCATGTGGCGAGCCGCGGGCACACAGACTCTTGACCAATCAGAATTGTCAGAACCGTCTCGTATCCAGGCGCCAGTGTGTGATTTATGATTTACAATCACTTCTCAGCGGGCATTATCAAATGTTAATACACGGTCAAGTTGCATGTTAAATAGGGAGACTGTCTGAGGCATTGTGAAAAATGTATTAAACTACAAAACAGAGCATGACATCACAAATTTTTTTGGGGGGGGGGAAGGGAGAGACTTACAGTGTATCTGTGAGCCTTGTAATTTCAAGGCTTGTTTCCAAGAAGGAAAAAGGTTAGTAGATTGAACGGAAAACACTGTGTGCGCTCGGCACAATTACTAGAAAACCAGTTGAGGGTGCATTAGGGAAATCCCACAAAGCACGACCACAGCTCAACCTTGGTCAAAGTATCAGGATTTTTTTTATTTGTCCTCATATTTATCTCTGCTTCCAAAATGGCTTAACCTCTGGACAAGCATTAGATTGCCATTTGTAGAGATATCTTTGGGTTTCATGGGGAGGGGGACGCGCCAAGGAGGGGAGCTCCTTTTCCATCGCTAGCATGGACAGTGCACTGGTAAGTGATGGGACAAACCACGCCCTCCAACACAATTACAGGAGGAAATTAATGCCATCAACTGTATTACAGGTATAACAGTGCCGCACCTGAAGCCAAGGGCCAAGGTCATCATCTGTCATTTGATACAAATGACCCTGGTGGCCCATTTACAGTGGGTGCAATCTTTGCGATGGTTGACCTGTGCCACAATCGGTCCTTTGGAATTCGCGCAAGACTGAGCTCTTTGATGTCAAGCATGGGTAGCGGCTGGCATGCCTGCCATTTCAGCGAGGGGGTGTGAAGTCCCTTCTGAAACTGGGGATAATGACACCAGTTTTCAAGGTGACAGGCTGAATGGTTCCTGATCACGCCACCATTCACTTCAACATCCCCCCACAGAGCCTTTAAGAACAGATCTGTTAAGACTCAGTTTATCTGTGGGGAATATCTACGGGGGGAAAATTTGGACTTGTATAAATACATATGCATATGTACATGTGGACAGTATTATTTTTGGATGTAAAACCCGACTTTCAAAAAACAGTCAATACGTCCTCTCTTAAGAAGCAGTCAAATACTGCCTTGTGAAGGGAATTTGAACACTATGCATACCAGGTCACAGTTTGTCACAGTCTGAGGACTCGACATGGAGCAACCGTGGCCAGAACAGGCCCATGTACAGTACATTGGTCAAGTTCATATTTAGCACACAGTCAGCCTGACTGGCCAGGCTTGAAAGTGTGCATGCTCCCACAGAATACAGTGTCTCCAGGGGTGTGGGTGGTGGTGTCATGCTGTCAAAGCTTCAGGAGTGAAAGTGGCCCGAATTATTTGATATTCGCCTCCCGAAGTTGGTGGCACAACTGAGTGCATGAATATGTGCAGAAGACCCATATCTCTGCTCCAAGAATGGCATGACGGCAACTACAGATGTACCCAACATGTCCTCACTTTACAATTGCTTTCTCATCAAGAAAAGGTTGGAGTGTTTTCGAGGGTGTTGTTGGAGATAATTTCTGTACCTTCCTCTACAAAACAGGATCGGTGGGAAACCTGAAGAGAACCCTTCAACTCCCCTCCCTAGGAAATTTCGCCATGAATCTTTCTGAATCCTTAAAGTCAACCAAAATGCATGAAAACCCACACTGTAACCCTAACCCCTAAACTTCTGTACTAAAAATACTACTGGTACTGGACCTAACTAAGTTCAACAGAGACAAGTTGTATCTTCGTGGGGGTCACTCTAACTACTGGCATGCGACTGGACAGAATCCGTTCAACTCCTGAAGATCAACAGTGTTGAAGTTTGAGTCCTTTGGTATGGATAGGTCTCTGCTGTTTACAGGTGCCTTGCAAAGTACCAGTGCCCAACCCGACAAAATCAAGCACAGTTTAATACACGGCACCCACTAACCAGTCACTCCATGGGGCACCCGTTTTGTGTCCCCACTCCAACAGAATCCAATACCATTACCGCCGGCTTTTGCTCCTCAATCCGATGAATTTGAACAAGTTCATAATGCATAGTAATAAATCAGCCAAATCCTGACAAAACCTACAGTTGAAGTTGGAGGGACTTGGGGGTAGTTAGGGTTGAACTTTCACACATGGCACCAAGCCAAGGCAACAGGGACTGTGCTCTGTCGCTCAGAACTTCCTGATTGAATGTTGAAAGACATGGCAGGAGTTAATAGAGTTGGGCAATGGACAAACATGTGGGCGGGAATGATAAAGCCACTAACATGTGAAGAGTTAACAGGTACAGCTGTAAGGGGAGAAAACAAACTCACTAGCCCAACCCTTTGATTTTATCGGTTAATTTCCTTTGGGTGAACCACCACACCGTTCAATGTGTGCCAGTTTGCCGTTCCGAGGCTATTTACAGGCTTGGTCGACCAACCAGATATAAGCGTTATTTGCAGGTGAACTAAAACCTTTCAAACTTTTCTGGAAAAGGTATAAAAAAAGGGCAAAAAAACCCAAAAAAGGCTGACTGTTGACAAATTTCTCGACGCTCTTTTACTTTGTATAATTGCCTGCACGACTAACAATGACAATCTTTGGAAAGACTGTCAATTCCACAACACAAACTATTACACAGCTTCAGACTCGTCCCCTTGGACTTTTAACATTAAAACCTTACAATTATCACAGTCAATAACATCAGTAAGAAAAAAAAAGAGAGTCATGCGTAACCTCCCAAGTCAGAAACTTCCAAATTATGGTTTTTCTGGCAAACACAGACACATATTTGGCATGTTTCCAGACTACACATTGACCTTGCATATTCTTGACTTCTGAAACCTGTAACTGCCAAAGAAAAGATATGTCACTGCGATTTAGATTAAAAAAAAAAGAACCCAAACTTACCCTCCGGTGTCAAATCGCCCACTGGCGGACTGGGTGGAGCCAAAAGAGTCCTGTCCAAGAAACGAAGAGGTGGTTTGACGGGATGGCTGGGAGGACGGGGTCGGGGACAGTCCAAGACTGCCGCTGGAGCTTGCAGTGCTCTGCCAGAGAAGAAGGGAATGGATTCTATCATTGTTCTTCTGTAAGGAAGAGAAGTACTGTGGTCTCTAGGGTTGATGTGGAAGGCCAACCACGAGCCTGAACTGTTCAAATCCAATCCTGCAAGACACATCAGTGCAGTGGGCATAGAAGTATGGTGCATTTTGTTACAATTAGGCAATCCAGCGGCCGAACAAGCTACCCCGTTTTGAGTCAGTGAGAGCCGGTCCCATTAAACCATGCCACTGTTGGATCTTGTGGTGGCCGGCAACCAGAGACTCCCAGGGACATCCGGCCTTGGGGATGGTTGACCTTGTTGGATCTTGTCACGCTGGGCAGGCAAGCCAATTTGAAAAAAAAAAAAATGATGCACACCGAGGCATATGGCAGCATCTCTAGCCAATATGCCCAGGAAGGGTTTACACTTCTCTTGTCCACTCCCTCTGTCTGTTGTCTGCCTAACTCAAAACCTTCCTGACTGGAGGTAGGGGCTAGCTATTTTGGCTTCACATGGGGGTTCACACCCTTTAGCCGTTCACATACAAAGCTTTTGCCACTGGTTTCCTATAAAGCTGTGGACACTGAAATATTCATGTAGGTTCCCTGCATATTTGCCCAGGATATTAACATTAATGTATTCATGTACGATGACATTTTATTCCTTTTTTTCTGATACACATGGAGATGACGAAGGTGTTTCACGCTGACTAAAAAACAATGACCAAGGTCAATGGATTTAAATATGGCAGAAATTTTACATATTCATAATGTTACTGTTTGCATTGAGAGATGTCAAAATCTTATTGCACAACTAAAGCACTTCCAAGATTTAAGATCAGAATTAAGATCGAGAGATTCCCTCTGATCAAGATTACTGGCTGAGATTATATGCTTGACAGTCATAAGTTTAATGGAACATAAAGGTTTGCTCACCAGGAGTGTGGGCACATCTCTGGTTCTGTGTGGTTGGTATTCATCCATGGAGAACTTGTCTGGCCAGGTTGAGAACCCCGGCATCTTCTGCATCTTGCTGACCTCCTCGTTGGTTGGGAAGAGAGTAGGGGGTGAGGAGGGTGTCCCGCGCCCGTTTGATCCATCCTCGATACTCCAGTCGGGCTGGAGTCGCTGCTGCTGCGGCTGCAGGTGGTTGCTGGGACTGCTCCGGAACAAGCCAGACTGATCCTTGAACTGAAGATCTTCGAATTTGGATGGGTAACCCGAGGACTTGTGCTCCGCAGCGTGCTGGGGATAGGGGAGATGCTGAGGGCTCCGGTAAGAGGTGCTGTCCTCTCCTGAGAAGGGGAAATCAGACGAGCTCTTGGAGAGGTCCGAGTCGTAGCTCCTTGGGGAGGAAAAAGCACTCGGGTAGGGTTTCTGGACAGGGCTGGGTTGTTTCAGGGCCGCAAACTGATCCTTGTTTAGACTGGATCCAAGAAACCTCTGGCTTGGGGTGTCACCAGCGCTGGGGCTTTGCTGGTTGAGCTGGGAGAGTAAGGACATGCTCTGGGAATCTAGGGAGTTGCCCGTCAGGCCGGATCCCATCTGCGGCTCACGAGAGGAGGGCTTGAGGCCAAGGTTGCCGTCGCTGGGATCAGAGGACTGCTGCATCTGTTTCTGCAGCGTGGAGAGGAGCTCTAGGATGTTCTGGTTGAGCGTGTTCTGGTTGATGAGCTGCTGGGCCATCTGAAGCGACTCCAGGGACAGATCCTGGTGGGGCTGGGGCGGCTGGGTCGAGGGGGCGGGGAAGGAATTCTGCAGGAAGTGCTGGGCTTGGGACACTTGCAGGTCCTGCTGCTGCTGGGCCTGCTGTCTCTGCCGTGATAGAGCCGGATCAGAATGCTGCATAAACGGCTGTTGAGGTTGCTGTTGATGCTGCTGTTGATGATGTTGCTGCATGGGGTTCAGTCTTCCAACTGGTCCTCTACTTTGGTTGGGAATCTTGCTGGTGCTTCCTCCCCAGCTTTGGGATGTGGAACCATCACCGACGCTGCTAACAGCTGGGCTTTTCGGCCACAGGCCATGGTTGGCAGGAGGGTGTGGCTGGGATGCATGCTGCGGCTGAGGTGGGGGTGGCTTTTGGCCAAACTCGTAACCAGTTACTCCATCCTGATCTTGGGGCTGCTGCTGTTGCCAGGTTGGATTTGCTTTTTCCCCTTGGGGATAGGTTTGCCTTTGATGCATGGGGGCTCCAGGGAAATTGGATCGGGGGCCTTGAGAGGGTGGCATATGGGGTGGCAGGCTGTGTGACGGTGGACCAGAAGAAGATGGACTTTGCATGCTAGGAGGGGGTCCGGGTGGGTGGCTTGGTAGAGGACCTTGCATGTTATGTGGGGGTCCATGGGGGTGAGAGGGAGGTCCCTGTGAGCGTGGTGGACCGTGCTGCCGGTGAGGAGGTTGCGCCCCAGGGTGTGGGGGTCTGGGGCCCTGTGGGTGGGACCCTGGGGGCACAGGGGGATATGGTGGGACATGGTGACCTGTAGGAGGTGGGGGATGGGACAATCCACCTGGGTGTGGGGGAACATGCTGTGGCGGATACGGCGGGGGGGCGGGGGGGGGGGTGGGGCGAAGGGGGGGGGGGGGGGGGGGGG